GGACATCCCCCGAGGGCTTCCGGTCTGCCAGAGGGATGTCTGATTGCCAGCTTAGGCCCAATCCCCCAGGGAGCAGGCCTAAGCCAGCAAGTGGTCATCCCCCAAGGGGTCCCAGACTGCGAGAGGGCACAGGCCAGGCTGAGGGTCGTCCCCCTCCCCCCCCCCCCCCGCCCCGAGTGCACAAATTGTTGTGCACCGGGCCTCTAGTGTTAATAACAGATACCATTTCTAAGAATTTATACCCACCAGTCACTGCTTACACATTATCCTATTTAGCTTTCCCAAGAACCTATTACACCTGTAGTTTATAGATGAGAACACTGAGGATGTTGCTTGTCCAAAGCCACGTAGACAGAACGTGGCTGAATGGGACAATAATCCTGTTTACCTCAAGAGTAGGACCAGTGACAGAATATGCAGGGCCCAATGCTAAATATAAGTGTAGGGTCCCATCTTCAAAAGTTATTAAGAATTTCAAGATAAAAGCAGCAGATGATTAAGCCACATATAGGGCCTTTCTGAGCACAGGGCCTGTGTGACTGCACAGGTTGCACACCCAGAAAGCTGGTCCTACTCCAGAGGTTCTAGTAACAGTTAAATAAGGTACAATAATAATAAAAGAAAATACCTCCCATAACACATTCTGTGCCAGGTACTTTTCTAGTTGCTTTATAACATTAATGTCATGGTCATGGAAATCCTGTAAACTAGGTAACTTTCTTATCATCCTTATTTTACAGATTAGACAACAACGGCACAGAGAGGTTAATTAACTTCACCAGGGTAACAACTGCTCAGCAGTAGAGCTTGGACTTAACCCAGAGGGTCTGGCTCCAGAGCTCATGCTTTAACCATGACACTGGCACACGTAAAGTGCTCCATGTGGCCAGGCGTGCACACTGCTTGGGAAAGGTCTACAATTATTATTGCTGGTTTGATGTCAAATCAAGGCCCCCATGCCAAGCCTGTGGTGTTAACAATTTTATTATATTCCCTGGTCACATCAGAACTAAATATTTCATTTTGAGAACATTCTGATACACTGTTGACTTGCTTTGTGAGACTAAAAATTCTAGGAAAAAATTTTATAAATCATAATATTTTTCTGTGGATTCAAACCATATATCTCCGGCTAACATTTAATTATATCATTAAACTTCACGTTTTGTAAAGAAGATTAGAAATATATGGTTAAGCCTCAGAATCTCTGGATCAGTATATACTGTCAAAATGGGAAGGAATGAAAAAATCTACACTAGTTATTAAAATTCAAAAATAAAATTGAAAAAGGCTTGCAGATATATTCAGTCTGGATAACTAAATTCATCTCAAGTTTATGATTGGAAATTTACTTAAAATAATCTTTACTGCCCTGGCTGGGTGGTTCAACTGGTTGGAATGTTGTCCCATACACCAAAGGGTTGCAGGCTCGATTCCTGGTCAGAGCTCATGCAGGAGGCAACTGCTGCTGCCCTCTCACACAGATGTCTCTCTCTCTCTCCTCCCCACTTCCTTTCTCTAAAATCAATGAAAATATTTCTTCAGGTGAGGATTAAAAGTAATAATGATCTTTACTTGGGAAGTGAAAATGGAAAGAGAAAAATACCCCATAGTTTGGCATCACTATCCATCTTTATTAGATACAGATGAAAAATTAATGTTATTAGCTATTTGGGAATCATCTAGAACATCGATTGCCAACTTTTTGGATCTCATGGACCACCGGTTGGTGACCACAGCTCCAAAGGTTTCCTTAAACCAGCGGTCGCCAACCTTTTGGACCTCACGGATCACCAGTGGTCCGTGGACCACCAATTGGCAACCTCTGATCTAGAATTCTAATTCTTAAGATTTGTTTCCAAAAAGCATCATTGTAAAATAGGCAGCTTTTTTAAATGGCAACTGACAGCAGACATCCCCTCTACCATCATCTACTGCATTTATTTTAAATATTTCCATAATTTTAATCAAGAAGAACATTTGAATTGGAATCTGTTTATAATTAAAGTAATAAAAACTTGTGTAACAAAAAGATGTCCAGAGGATCTTTTTTCCTTGAAGGCTCATAATCACCCTAGTAAATGAAACTTTCACGTTTCTGGGAAATTTAACTGTCATCATTGATGATGCTAAATTATTTCAGAAACCATGATTGCACTTTCTACAAAATAGGCCAAAAAAAATACTTCCTTAAATGAGAGTGTCCAGTTGAACTGTTTGATATAGATACCTGTTCAGTGGTGCTGAAAAGAAAATGCTTTCAAAGCTAAGCCACATGTACCTGTACACTAAAAAAATATTTTCAATGGAATTTGTTTGTAGAAAGTATTGAGAAACATTACTCCTGTTCACCAATAAAGGTATACATCCCAAGGAAACAATCCTGTGTCGCCCTCTGCTGGCCTAAGCGCTACAGTTCTCTCAAATCCTACCGCATTTCTTTAAAACATTTTTCAAGTCATTGTTTTAAGGGATGGGGTGAAAGTCTGAGACACAACAGAAGAGGTTGGGGAAAACTGGGAGGAGCTGTGTGTGACACTGAGTATTTGGCAGGGATCCATTTCTTATCTCCAGCTTTGGATGCCCCTAATTCCTTGTAAAGCTACACTTAACGTGTGCCTCTTTGCAACTGAGCTATTTACAAAAGCTTAAACGTTAAAATTTTTAATTAAAATTTAAGAATTAAAGATCACTTCAAATACAAAGGAACTAACACAAAATTACAAACATACTCCAATTTTATTCACATGGCAATGGAATATAAACTGCAGTCATTCATACTATCCCTGTGTGAAAGGTTTACCAGTGTGAATGATAGCCATGACCAAAACTTAATTTTAATTATTGTTTACTTTTACTAACTTTTCATTTATAATCTATGGCTCAGTAATCATACCCCTGTGGTTTATACCTGTGGTGATCCCCTTCTTGTTTCTAAGCAGGGAAAGTGTGATACTCACCACACCTCTGTGGAGGTGTAGAGTCAGATTTGGGAAGCAGGCTGCTTGGATCCCACATCCACTTCTACTCACTGCCTCTGTGGCTGGGACAAGTTAGCACCGGGCCTTGGTTTTTTGTTGTCGTTGTTTACTTTTTTCTTTTTCTTTTCTTGGCCTTGGTTTTATCAACCATAAAATGGGATAACAATATCTATCCTATAGAGTCATTGCAATGACTTAATGAGATAATTCATAAAAAGTATGTGGCTGAATAATACCTTTTAGGAAGAGTCAAGGAAAGTTAGTTACTATTATATTTTGGTGAGCATGCTGCTGCTGTTGCTTCACTGAGAGTCTGTGCAAAAGCAATTTGTCAATTAGAACCCTAAGTAGCCCTGGCTGGTATGGCTCAGTGATGTGTCTGCCTGAGCACTGAAGAACAATGGGTTCAATTCTCAGTCAAGGTCAAGGGCATGGACCTGAGTTGCAGGTTGGATTCTGGCCCAGTTGAAGCTCATGCAGGATGTGTCACCAATGGATGTGTCCCTTTCACATCAATGTTTCTCTCCCCCCCCCACCCCCCCCCCTGCTTTCCTCCCTCCTTTCCACTCTCTTTAAAAAGCAATGGAAAAAATATCCTGGGGTGAGGATTAATAATAAAAAAAGAACCCTAAGTAGCAGAAAGATTTTTAAAAGTATGCTGGATCTACCAGTATTATGCAAGGATCTGTATCATAATAGATACTTATGGAAGATTCTTTGTACATACTAGCAGAACAATATCATTCAACAAATATTAACACTGAATGTATGTAAGATACTGTGCTTGGTGCTGCAAAAGATGTACATGGGAGTAAGACACAATGTTTAAGACCTAGGAAGCTGGACAAGGCAAATACAGTTTTGCTAGGCCAAATATAAGCACTGAGCTTTGAGAAGGCTCTGAGTTTAAAGAGAGCTGGAACAAGATGATTCATTTGGGAAAGACTGAGGAAAGGTGTGGTTGAGGAGGGAGGACTTGGAGAAGGTTCTGACGTTTTGTAGGTAGAAGAGTTAGGCACAGGGTAGACATTATTGGCTCTACTGCTTAACAGCTGTGTCGTCTCTGACAAGTCATGTCACCTCTCTCAGCCACACTTCCCTTTTCTGTAAAATGAGGATTGTTAGAATACCGACCTTATAGGGCTGCTCGGGAAATGATAGGAGAGGGGTCATCTAGTGCTCAAAAGAACTATTATTATCTAGAGGAGAGGTTCTCAATCTGGCTGCATCCTAGAATCGCTTGGGAACTTTAAAAAAAAAAAATTAATTCCCTCAGTTCCACCCCAGAGCAACTAAATCAGAATCCGAACATGAGGCCCAGGCATCAAAGCTTTCTCAAGTTCCCTGAAGGGATTCTGAATACTTGATCTCATGTCTCGATCCTTGGTACTGGACTGAAGTGCAAGGTCCTGAAACCCCAGCTGGGCAATTGCTAGAAATGTGGGTTCTTGGGGCCACCATGTACCGTCTGAAAGTGCATTTTATAACAAGGTCTCATCGCCCCCTCCTCCGGCCCCCCGACTTTGGACATCCCTGAAAGGGGAAGAAAAGCAGCTGAAAAATTCACAGTTGGCACCGGTGTCATAACAGCCCCTTAACATTCTTATGGAACCTTACATTTACCCAAAGCCTTCCACGTGTATTACTTCACTTGAACCAAATTAAGAACAGCCCTGAATTCAGTTAGACATTTTGCAGCTGGAAATTGAAGTCCAGAGAGCTAGGACGGCTCAGGATACCCCTCTCGCAAACTGGGAAGTCATGGCAGGAACCCGCGCAGAGTCCCATCCGGCGATCAGAACTGTGCCTGACTTTTAACTCACAGGAGAAAACACTACCCTCCACCGGCCGGCGGCGGGCTTAACAGAGGTCGCTAGGTTACTAGAATCGGCACAGGAACTTTCCACCAATCCGCAAGCTGCTGGCACGAGGATCTCCTCGCAGCGTCAATGGCGTTTGTGCGCATGTGTCGTCGCCTGGCGGGAGGAGGAGCCTTTTATCTCTTGCCTTCCGGGCGACACAGGAAGTGGCTCGGATGCGCACGCACGACGTCCCCACAGCACTAGGGGCAGTTTCCTCCGCCGGCGTGGGAGATCCCGGGCTCCCAGCATTCTTGTTCGCGCCACCTCGCCCCTGCCCGCTTCGTGCCGGAGCGGGGTCGCAAGCTCCCGAGTCCCTCCGGTCCCTGCAGCCGGCGTCTCGCCGCCGTGCGACTCTCAGGTAGTCCCCGTGCCGCTTTCCCTCTTTACCGCCGCCATGGCGCCGCCGAGGCCGGGCCCCCACTCCCCGGCCCAGGGCGCCCGTGACGACCCGGCCTGTTGAAAAGCCCCCCTAGTGATCCAGGGAGTGACGTCATAGCTGGAAGGGGCCGCGGCGGTCACCTCGCGTCTAACCCCCTCATGTCTCTGGTGGGGAAACTGAGGCACGGGCAGGGCCACAGAGTTGAAGGCAGCGTCTGTCGCCCCCGCCCTTCCCTGCACGACCCTGGCTTCTCGTCAAACGCATTGCACCCCCTCAGAGACCTTGCCTGACGGCGCTGCTACCCAAAGCCATCACCTTTAGACCCCGCGTCAGCCTGCCTCATTGCCCCGTTGCGCTTACCACTCTGAAACGAAGTCTTTTGTTTCTATCTTCCTCCGCCAGGTGTTGGTCACACTCACACTCTGCCCCGGCCAGGCCCTGTGCTGAGCGCCAGGTGTGTGCGAGGCAAGAACCCAGACAGGTGTCCGCGCGTTGCAGCTGGCATTCTCCTGGGAAAGAGGTTGATTGCAAAGACATCCCAGGTCGTGACAGGTGTTATGAAGGAAACGGGGACGGGAAGGGGGGCCCGGGGGGCGGTGATCGGAGGTTGGCGATGTTAAATTAGGAAGGCAGAGAGGCCTCCGAGGAGGTGACCTTTCTTAAAAAACATAGGTTTGAGAGCTTTATTGTAAGTTAGACCTGTGTGTACCTGTTGATGAGCTTGGGGACTTTAATATAGTTGTGCAGACACCACCTCGGTGCAGTTTTAGAACATTCGGTCCCCTCACAAAGTTCCCCGGGGGCACCTTTTGACAGACAGCTGGAGGTTGGGGGGAGGGGGAGTTACCCCAGCCACAGCGAGGGGTGAGCGCCGTGGGGGGCAGAAAGGAAGCCGGCAGGGAGCGTGTGGGTGCAGAGCGGGAGGAGGGCAGCGTGGGGGGCGGTGGGGGAGGTGAAAGGCGGGCGGGTGCCTTCTGGACTCGGGGCTCCCAGTGTCCTGCATACCACGTGGTCCACAAAGGCCGACACGTACTGGAATGGCCTGTGCTCCTTCCTAATGGCAGAAGTGTTCTCTCCCATCTTGATGGTTGAAGCGGGGGAGGGAATGGGAGTCAAGTTTCAGGCCCTGTGTGTGCTCACCGGGTTTTCATAACCCTATGAAATGGATGTCAGTGACTGTGTTTATGGATGAGAAAGTCAAGGCTAAATAACACGGCCAAAGCGATATGGGTAGTTCCTGGGCTCGATGGCAGCAGCCTGGCCACGGCTTTGTTCGCCCGTGCAGTTAACTGGCGTTCCACGTACACTGCTGACGTTTCAGGCAGCGGTAGCCGCACGCTCCACGGCCTCTCGCAAAGTTGCTTTCTGAGCTGTTGCTTTTACCCAGCATGTCTGCGCCTGCTTATTGTTCATGGAGCTGGGGAAACGCAAATGTCTTTCCAAAATGCCTAGTAGTTTCCCATTCTGTGTTGTCTTTTTTTAGAGATGTTACCCTTGTTGGCAAGTATGCCACTCAGCTCCCTGACTCCTTTGGGAGAGGTGACTGACATGGTAGGCTTCGTGGCTTAAAATTTTGCTAGCCGATGACAGAATTGAAAAAGTGGCTTCAGCACGCGTGAGTCACCAGGGAGTTACAGTACACAGACCTTCTCCTTGCAAAGGAAAGTAGTTCATTGTACCCACTAAGTCCGAGGTACTGCCCTTTCTACACGGATAACCCCGTGTGATCCTCAGAGTACTCCTGGAGAAAGTATTTTGTATTTATAAAGCAGGAAAGTAAGGCCTGGTGAGAGCAGGGTCCAAAACCTGGTGAGTTTACTAAAAAAACTCGTAATGGGAGATTCTTGCTGGCAGATATCCACCCATATGCGAGGCTGGTGCTCACGTAGACCAAAGTGGATTACTTTGAAAAACTCCTACAAAGAAATCGCAGCCAGGACTGGTTGCTTTTCTAAGTAACTTCACATGGAGATCTTGACCTAAACCAACGAGCAGAGATTAGTAAGAAAGTGGATTCTCACTCAGTGGGAACCGGGAAGAGTGGGACCTGCTGCTGGTTTGCGGTTGTATCCTGGTGCTCAGCGCGGCGTCGCCGTAAAGCCTGAGCGAGTCAGTTCTAGCTGGGACTGAAGCACGGCAGGGATGTGTCGGCGTTGGTTTATCCGTGGTGACAAGTGTAAGGAAACTGGCTGTGGGTGTATAGGAACTCTCCTGTCTTTACAATGTCTATAAATCTAAAATAGGAAGTTTATTTTTAAAAAGCACTCTCACATATTTAGATCTCTTCAATAGAGAGAGGCCTAGCGTCAAGCCATGTACTCTTTGTTTCCCTTCTGCACCTTAATTAGTTTTGTATTGCCTCTCGGTGGTATTTATAACTTAAAAAAGGACCTGTCCTTAACATTTTCCATTATTTGTTTTAGAGCCAAAATGAGTCTGTTTGGAACAACCTCTGGTTTTGGAACTGGTGGGACCAGCATGTTTGGCAGCACAACTACAGATAACCACAACCCTATGAAGGTACCACATTGGACATCCTGGGGTTGTCCTGAAGAGGGCAGGGCAGGGTCTCCCACAGCAGTGGCAGCAGGAGAAACTGATAGTGGGGGAGCCTCCTTTGGGGTGGAAGCTCTGGAAATTTGTCGGGTTGCTTTCTCAAACATTGGAGCATAGGGACCTGCTGTCCTGTCCCCCTCACTGCCCCAGTCACCAGAATCACCTGGGGCCTGGCCTACACTGTTGAATCAGAATCTCTGCAGGGAGGGAGGGAGGGCAGGCAGCAGCTGTGATCAGCACTTGAGGGCAAGATGGTGGGCCCTCATCTGGAAATGTGGTTGTGCTGGTGCCTTCACTGGCTTCTTTCTCATCACCCTTTTTGAGCCAAGTAAGACAGGTCTGATTCCATTAGTTCTTGAGCACAAGGGAATTCCACCCTGAGGTTCAGTGAGAAAGAAAGCAATTTTGAAGGAAACTGGGATGATGCATACATTTTAATGTTGACCTTTCCCCCACCAGGATATTGAAGTGACATCCTCTCCTGATGATAGCATTGGTTGTCTATCTTTTAGCCCACCAACCTTGCCAGGGAACTTTCTTATTGCAGGATCGTGGGCTAACGATGTAAGTGCTCCTTATGTGTGTGTTCTATAAGTCATGCCTCTTTGAATGGGTGGAGTTAGGTTTCCTTTTGGCTCCATCCTCTCCCAAGCGGTTGAAGCTGAGTTAAGACTTATCCATGTTGACAATTGTAAGAAGGAAACTGGGTGTGGGGTGATGGGAACTCTCCTGTTTTTACAATTTTCTGTATTTAAATAAATAAATTTTAGATAAATTAGAGCAGTGGTTGCCAACCAGTGGTCCGTGAGGTCCGAAAGGTTGGCGACCGCTGAGTTAGAAGGTATCAGCCAGTGGTTCCCAACCTTTTTTTGGCCATGCCCCACCCTAGCATCTCTAAAATCCTGCTGCCCCTGTGACATGTAATTCTTCTTATTAAAAAAATGACTTCCGTTCCCGTGGAGGAAGCCTAAAGGCCGTTAACTTGGTCTAAACAAGCGTCCAAAGAGCATGGCTTCCGTGGAAAAGAAAAAGAAAAGAACAAAAGGACAGTTGAAGTACTGAGGAAGAAATCACTAAGAAATTGTTAAAAAAAATATGAATATGAAAATAATAGCAAATAAAGTTTCAAAACATAATAATTGAAATGCATAAATATGTCACAATATATATTTACTAGAGGCCTGATGCACAAAATTCGTGCAAGAGTAGGCCTTCCTTCCCCTGGCTACCAGCACCGGCTTCCCTCTGGCACCCGGGACCCAGGCTTCCCTCGCAGCCCTGACTTCACCTGGAAGAACATCCGGTCTAATTAGCATATTACGCTTGTTAATTACTCATTCTCGAATTGCCCCCCTGTGGGGCATGTGCCCCACGTTGGGAACCACTGGTGTAAACCCTTCTGAGTGGGCAGACGTCAGTTCTTGGTACACTGAGTTTTGTTGAAGCACAATTACACAGCTGGCTCAGAAATTCCTCCTCTAGGTCAGAACCTGGAAGTGTATTCCCAGATCAACTGGGTGTTCGTTGGGGGTGCGTGTTGTCCATGACAGTGCACCGAGGCCTCCTGAGCATGTTCTTCAGGCACATGGCAAACTTCTCTTAACTTTAGATATAGCGCAGATTCTGCATAGACCTTGTACTTACCTGTTGTGTACAAAAAAGAGACAAAATCATAGTACACAAAAAGGAATAAAACTGGTAGAAAAATAAGCAAAGGGTGTGAAGAGGTACTTCACAAAGAGGTTCAAGTGATCCATTAAACTTCAACCACTCAGCCACACCTAAAATAGCTAAACACGCATTTACACAATTGACTTGTTTTTCTATCAAATTAACAAAAATAAGAAGGTTAAAGGAATTACACTTGGTGCTGACAACACTAAGCTGAAGCCTTACATGGTGTGCTGGTAGGTGTGTGTGTGGTACAGTTCTTAAGCAATCCTGTCTCAGCGATTCCCCTCGGGGCCTGAGGAGGATCTAAGCATAGACCCTTGAGGGTCTTCATGCAGGAAAACTTCAAAATTGCACTATCTAATAGTAATGGTAATTTATGCTATGTCGGAATGATGGGATACCATTTTTTAAAGTTTTTGAAAAGGTTTCTGCAACAGGGAAGCAGGCAGTGAGGGGCTGAGGGGAGGAAAGTAGTTGGGGAGGAGGTTGTCAAGGTTGAGCAGGTTTGGATTTTACATGGAGTTTCTAGAAAGACTTCAGTTGATTCTCTGCCCAAAAAATGTAAGAATGTTTATTGGCAACTAATGCAGTTGAGGGGAACTGCAATTACAAAAATGAAGATACTCTGCAGTCTCGTTTTTCGAAGAAAATATGTGTGTCTAGAAAGACTGAAAGCACACGGCTGCCAACTAGTTGTCCATGGGATGAGGGTGATTTTTGTTTTGTTGTCATATTTACAAAATCTCTAAGAAAAATGCATTACTTTTGTAACTGGGGGAAAATGATACAAAAAGTCAAAGTGAAGTATTCAGAGAAGAAAGGTTAAGTTTCCACTTTGGTTTTGATTCTCTGAATGGTAATGATGACATTCTGCCTTAAAAGACAGATGTAGCTCATAGCTATGTTGAGAAAACTATCTGCGGTTTTAGGTGGAAGCAAACGAATTTGTATATTTAAGTGGATTAGGAATAGGAAAGTAACTACTTGTGTATACTTTTCAATTACTTTATTCTAAGATTTTAATAAGATTGATCGAAGTCCATATATATTTTAATTGTACTCCATTAGTTATTAGTTTTAAATGCATATAATTTATCATAAATTGCTATGTTTGCATTAACATGTCTTATTACCATAGGTTCGCTGCTGGGAAGTTCAGGACAGTGGACAGACTATTCCTAAAGCCCAGCAGATGCACACGGGGCCTGTCCTCGACGTCTGCTGGAGTGATGTAAGTGTCATTCGATTTCTCATGTTTTCTTCTACATAAGTACAGTGTAGTCAGAATGTTTGTATGTTTCTGTTTTTATATAACCCCAAACACAAATAATAGGTATGTGTACACATTGAAGGAATTCTAGATTTCTGAGTGTAAATAATAGTAATTTATTGATGTTCCTGATGTTATCATTGTTGGCTTTAGTTAATCTCTATGAAAGCTTTGTTGCATAAAAAATCCATTATTTTATTGACATGTTACCTTGAACAGAGGATTTTTCTTGAGGCCTTTCCTACTTCTAAATATTCCATGAACTTGTGTTGTTTTAAAATTAGAAATTTACTATCTAGAAAATAAATTCTTTTCTGTTATTAGACATTTGAAGACATTTGGTTTTTGGGGGATTCCCTTTCCCTCCCAGATCCTGACTATCAGCTACGTAAGCAAGCGTGTTCAAGGTTTTTGTTGTTGTTGTTTGTTGTTGCTATTGATTGAGGAGAACTGAATGAAGGTGAAGGATAGGTGGCAAGGCACAGAGAGAGCTGCAGCTGTGGGGGGCCTGCCCCCTGGATGAAGGAGTAGCAGGGGGCGAGGGAGAGCTGACAGCCCAGCCCTTCTCCCTCTCCTGCCTGGTGGCTGCACCGGTACAAAGAAAACAGGGGCCTGACTGAGTCGGAAGTTGGTAGATGTGGCAATAGGTAGATGCAAACATTCTGAAAAGTGATGCATTTGTTACAGATACAATTATTTCTAAGTTAATTTGCCTGTCTTTCTTAACTGATTGGGTAATGGTTCAGAATTGTAAACTTTCTTTTAAGTGTGTTAAGGAGTAGAGGTAACTGACAGGAATTCTGCTGCCCGGATGTTACTGAGTGGCTGTTGGCATTTACCAAATGATGCAGTCCGTTCCCTTTCCCAAGTTGTGCCTCATCTCGTGGAGGACTCAAACCTCGGAGTGAGGAGTTCTGACAGTGAGCTGTCCTAGAGGCAGGATGTCTTGGTTGGGGTGGGTGTGAACATAGGGAGCCTAAAGAATTTGAAAGGGTGCTGTGAATGTGTCACTAAAGAGGCAAGAATTGAGCTGAATTTTAAAGGAAAAGTGAGCTGTGAGCATTGTCTCGTTCAGGCGTAGGTTCAAATTTTGTCTTTATCTCCTCCAGCTTTTTTACTTTGGCAAGATACATAATGTCTGTATCTGTTTCCTCACATATCCAATAAAGATAATAATAACTAAACAGAGAATAGCATTTAATTCAGCATATAGCGACCAGGCCCTCTAGCACGCCAGAGCACCAAGATGTAGTGGCACTCAGAGGAGGCAAGGTCGGCAGGTCCTGTGCTCGCGGGACTCGTGACCTCTTAGGACCGACATAGAAACAGATGAGAATTTCAGGTAGCGAACGTTTGTGACAGCTGCATTATCTGCATGGTGCTCCCATATGAAATGAAGATAATAATTACAACAGAATAGCCAACTGTGGCCAAATGGGGCCGTTGCCTGTGTTTGTAAACAGTTTTGTCAGAACACAGCCACACTCATTCACTTACGTGGTGTGGCAGCTGCTTTCATGCTGCAGCAGCAGCAGAGCTAAAGAGCTGCAATGGTGAACTACAAAGACTGAAATATTTACTAAACAAATAGCCAGCACTTTAAGACAAAATTTGCCAACCACTGGTCTGGACTTTCCAATTAGTGCTTTCTCTTTTTAGTAAAAATTATCTTTATATATATATATATATATATACACACATACATATACATACACACACACACACACACACACACACACACACACACACACTCTAGAGGCCCAGTGCACGAAATTCATGCACTCTGGGGGGGGGGGGCGGTATCCCTCATCCGGATTGTGAGAGGGCTCAGGCCAGGCCGAGGGACCCCACTGGTGCACAATTGGGGCCAGGGAGGGATGCAGGAGGGCTCCAGGGCGTGTCCGGCCCATCTCGCTCTGTCCCGATCTTCTCGCTCAGTCCCGATCAGCCGGACCCCAGCAGCAAGCTAACCTGCCAGTTGGAGTGTCTGCCCCCTGGTGGTCAGTGATTGTCATAGCGAGTGGTTGAGTGGCCTTAGCATATCATTAGCACATTACGCTTTGATTGGTTGACTGGATGACCGGACACTTAGCATATTAGGCTTTTACATATATAGGACATATCTATATATATAAAAGCCTAAACGACCGTTCAACTGGTAGCTATGACACACACTGACCACCATGGGGCAGACACTCTGACTGGTAGGTTAGCTTGCTGCTGGGGTCCGGCCAATGGGGAGTGGGTGAGATGGGCCAGACATGCCCTGGAGCCCTCCCGCAGTCACTCCCTGGGTTGGCCGGGCCCAACTGGGACTGGGCAACATTGGGTGACATGGGCCAGACACTCCTTGGAGCCCTCCCATGGTCCCTCCCCAGCCCCGATCATGCACCGGTGGGGTCCCTCAGCCTGACTTGCACCCTCTTGCAATCTGGGACTCCTCGGGGGATGTCCGCAGGCCACGCCTAGGGACCCCACCAGTGCATGCTTGTGTGTGTGTGTGTGTGTGTATGTGTGTGTGTATTTTTTTAAATATATTTTAGTGATTTTTTACAGAGAGGAAGGGAGAGAGAGTAAGAAACATTGATGAGAGAGAAACATCAATCAGCTGCATCCTGCACACCCCCCACTGGGGATGTGCCTGCAGCCAAGGCACATGCTCTTGACCAGAATCAAACCTGGGACCCTTCAGTCTGCAGGCTGACGCTCTATCCACTGAGCCAGACCGGTTAGAGCTGTATGTATATTTTAATTTCAGAGAGGAAGGGAGCAGGAGAGAGAGATAGAAACATCAATGATAAGGGAGAATCATTGATCAGCTGCCTCCTGCACGCCCCGCATTGGGGATCGAGCCTGTAACCTGGCATGTTCCCTGACTGGGAATCGAACCATGACCTCCTGGTTCATAGGTCAAAGTTCAATCACTTAGCCATGCCAGCCAAGCAGTAAAAATTATCTTGTGCTTCATACTTGAATGGCCTACTTTGAGTTCTGTATGTGAATATTTTAAAAACCATTTACAAGAACTGCTATTTTTTAAAATATCCTATAATTGACATAGGACCACTGATTATTGAACATTAGTGTCGTTTTACTGCATGCCCTTTGGAATCCTATTAGATATGGAGCTGAACAAAAGTAGTAATGAGTATAGACACGTGTGTATAAAAAGAAGGAAATACGGCAAATGTTTGTAATTGGTGGATCTAAGTGGAGGGTTTATGGGTGTTCATTGTTTTATTCTTGCAACTTTCGTGAAGGCTTGAAATTGATTAAAATAAGAAAAAAGTGTAAGTGGCTCCTGGTTAACTGACACAGATACCAGCTACGCTGTCTGTTCCTGGAGGACGTGTCAGGGCCCTGGCTGCCTCTGAGAGGAGAGCTGGGTCAGTGGGAGAGGCAGAGTCCTCACCGTGCCTTTGAATTTGTTCATCCTGTGTACATAGCATGTCTTATAAAAAATAAATCAATAATAAAAATGGAGCTGAAAATGTGTTTTGTATATGACATTGTCGTTTATAATATAGTGGCCCCATATAATTGGAAAAGTAAAAATTTCAGAGCAAAACCTGCCTGAATACATTCAGCCCCTTCTAATTATACATATAGACAGAGATTTTCTTTTTCTTAGCATGACAGGTTCTCTCCCTTTTACTGTAGGATGGGAGCAAAGTTTTTACGGCTTCATGTGATAAAACTGCCAAAATGTGGGACCTTAACAGTAACCAAGCGATACAGATCGCACAGGTAAGGAGAGCCTGCCCTCTGCAAGTTCTAGAATTCCATTTCTAGAATTCTCTTACAGAAGAGATGCGGTTTGACTGTACCAACTCACTTAGACTTTAGACAGAAACCCCCTGGTTAGCACAACGGACGGTTTGTGACCATTCGTACTCGTGCTCCACAGATTGCTCTGTGAAGGGTCTCCCGTGTATGTGTAGATGAGAGCGTCATGAGGAGTCAGTGATGTTAAATCTGACACATGTGACAGGTGACCCTCAACATTCACTCGCTTGACACTCAGCACCCGTGGGTGGCTTGTCTTTTACCAGCTACATATGCTCACTTGTTCATTGGGCCAGTATTTATCCAATACCTGATGTATGCCAGGTACTGTCCCCGGGAGGTACAACGGTGAGGAGATGCTTCCACACGCCCCAGAGCTTTGTAGTCCACTAGGGACAAGGCAGGCTCTTGTGTGAAGTCTGCTAAGAAAGGTGGAAGCGACGAGGATGAGAGAACCTAGAGCCAGGAACCTGTGAGGACACTGAGATGGTGTCAGGAAGGTGTTCCGCACTCGGGCCACAGTGCTGTGTGCAAGAGGCAGCTCCTGATCTCTCAGTTTGTGTCACCTCAGTAAGTAAGTAAAACCTTGGTGGAGTCCCCTACTAGTTATTTCTGATGATTTCCCAGGAGGGACTCCCTCTCACTCTCACATGCTAGTTAATTGTGGGTAAAATCCAATTAAGTTCATGCGAACGCAAGGGAGACATGGGCTCTTACGTTACTTGAACGTTTTGGTCATGGTGAAGGGCTAAAATACCCTTCAGTTTTTGTTTGGTTTGACCTCAATATTTAAATTAATTCCTTCTCTTTGGATTTTCAGAACTAAAGCTGTTAGCACTAGTTACATTTACCTTCATCTGTTTTGGTTCTGTCTTGTTGAAAGCATGATGCTCCTGTGAAAACCATTCATTGGATCAAAGCCCCGAACTACAGCTGCGTGATGACCGGGAGCTGGGATAAGACTTTGAAGGTACACTCCGCTGAGGGGCCCTGTGGCCCAACCAGGTCAACATGCACTCATTGTTCTTACACTGTTTGGGCTTTAGCTCTGAATAGTCGCTTTCTGGCTTTTTTTCTTTCAGTTTTGGGATACACGATCATCAAATCCCATGATGGTTTTGCAGCTCCCTGAGAGGTGTTACTGTGCCGACATGGTAAGGCGTTTCTAACTTTGTACATGTTTCCTTTTAAAAGAGAAAAGCTTTTCTGACCTTATGACATCTTGCAATTAGAGGGGGATATAGTCCAGATTGCCTCAGTCATCTTAAATCTGAATCTTGTGCTGCATTTGTTCCAGAATTACTAAATAGTGGGTGTCAGGTTTTTGGTCACTTGTCATTTGAATATATGCAGAGAGCTATGTGCCATCAGGGTAAGACCTTTATCGTGTGGCTGTAGGAAAACGGGCAGTAACTCTGTGTTTTAGATTTGTGGGGACTGTGTCTGTGGGTGAGAAAATGAAGAACTTTCTCCATCCATTTAGTCATCAGTCTTCAAGCTTTGTACCAACTGCCCAGCAATTCCACTTACAGAAATTTGTCATGGGAACAAGAAGGTTGCACATGGTCTCTGTTGTTATAAAACTGTGAAACATGGGAAGTGATCTAAAGGGCAAGCAAGACAGACATGGTTAAGTGAACCCTGGGGTAGGTTTATTTGAGAGAATATTAGACAGTCATTAGTATTCTTAGAATACACACTTTGAGTTAATGATATGGATTATATAGAAACATACATTCACATGCATACATGTATAATGCTCAGAAAAAAGACTGGAGTAAAACTGTCATAACATTAACGACTGTTACTATTTGAAGAGCCATAGGTGATTTTTATTTCTTCTCTACTCCTAAGTATATTTTCTAAATATTCATATATTTTACTAGAGGCCCGGGTGCACAGTGCACGAATTCATGCATAGGTGGGGTCCGCCCCGATCGAGGCCAGCCGGCTGGGGGGAGGGGCCGTGGGCAGTTTTACGGCCAGCCCTGCCCCCTGTTTGAACTCCCAGTCGAAGGGACAATTTGCATATTAGCCTTTTATTATATAGGATAGTTTTAAAGAAACTAGTCTTTTAAAAAATGATTTTATCCAAATGTGATTTTATGTTTTCTTAAAGCATGTTGATATCATTGGGTTTTAAACTTAGAAAAAATTCAGACTTATTTTTATGACTGTAAAAAACTTTGATATAATATTTGGGTATAAAGACAGCACACTCCTGGGGTGGGGGGCAGTGGACTTCTTTTAAAAGCACAGTCCTCTGTTTAGTCCTGTCTCTGCTCTCGCCATTCCCCAGATCTATCCTATGGCTGTGGTGGCAACTGCGGAGAGGGGACTGATAGTCTATCAGTTAGAGAACCAGCCTTCTGAATTCAGGAGGATAGAATCTCCCCTGAAACACCAGGTGAGTCGGAAGTCAGATCAAGAAGCCGGGGTTTAGACCCATCCTGTGCCCGCGTATGGTTTTAAACACCTGTAAGTATTTTCAAAGGGAGTCAATTTAAGGAAACAAATGTCTAGCGAGTGAAAACTCTTCTTTGCTGGATGAGCCCAGCTTACCTGTCTCCCCTAAACTTCCCCCTGATAGCTGGGTGCTACTGAATAACACCACTTCCCAGTGGACTGGCTCCATGGTAAGCTCATAGCTTCCACCTTCCACAGTGCCTTCGTCGTGCCCTGACGCTGCTTAGGTTTTTGTCTCCTGCTCTGTCTTCCACTAGCCACGGGCTCTTAGATCTTCACTCTCTTGGGTCCCCTAGACTCTCCCTCTCTTTTCCCCTTTGTCTCAGAGCTCAGATCAGCTTCTACTCAGAAAACAAGCTGGTGGTTGGGAGCTTCCTTATCTTCCTCCTGTGAATCCAAAAACCTGCCTGCGCCTTTTCCTGCCCATCCCCAGCTGTCAGGTGGAGACAGTGTTCTCCCAGGGCCGGTTTCAGGGCAGGACCCTTGCCCTGCGGCCTTCTCAGGAACCTCCAGCCACTGATCAGCCAGCTCCCTCCTGTACCTTCCATCTCTCCCCCGCGTATGCTTAGTGCAACATGAGCATACAACAAGCCTCACTCATCCTAGGAAACAAACTTTATTTTGACCCCACCACCTGGACCCCTCTCCCTAACCAGTTGAGTGACAAGAAGAGTTTAGGTCCTTCAGTCCATCCTCTGTACCTGAGTGTGCGGACCCTGCCGTGCCCTGGCTTCAACCCCCTAACTGACATTCGTTGCTCTTTGGGTAAATTCAAACTCCTTGATACAACCTAGTCTGGTCTGGCTTCACTTGCAGGCACCTGCTCATTCACTTTTGAGGAATGCCGCCTGTCTTCCCCGGGTCACCGTGCAGATGTGTTCTTGTAAATCGTACCCCAGTTGTGTGGTTGCTGCCTGTGTGCGGGCATTAGACCCTGTGCCGAGCTGGGGGGGCAGGCAGGGGCACCGCTTGGCCAGCTGTGGTTCCTCCTGTCCTCTAAGTACTTACAGACCTTTGTCTCTTTTTGTTAACTTTTTTTACTCACAGAAGTAATGGGCTTGCTATTTTGTTCATTTGTTTTTAACCAGTTAACTGCCACGCATCCAAAACGGAAACCATCCCCACTGCCACGATAGTTTGAATTTTAAAAAATCAATTTGCAATGAACATTATAAAAATAAATATGTTACTCACAATTTGGGTGTTCTTGAATATTTTCAGCTGCAAATTCTCACGAAAAATGATTTTAAAGTTGGTCAGGGCTGCCACTTGGGGAAAACATTTTTTTTTATAGACACGCATGGCGTGTGTGGAAGGCCTGCTGCTTGCGTCTACAGAACCTTATGGCATACAGTGGGTTAAAGAGCAAATGGCACCAAAAGGGAACCAGCATTCACTTTCCATTTTTGTGGGACATTTGTGTGTTCTGCATCATCACAGTAACAAAGTGCTCTTTCCCATCATCTCATGCTGCTCAGGGCCGCACCTCCTGACCTCCGCAGAAGCTAAAGTGTCCAGCTTGGGCAGGGTGGGTGGTCCTCTGGGTTAGGCCAGGTTGTCTTGAGTAGGAGGAGGAAGGGAAGACCCAGAGGTGCCCGGCCCTGCTCCTTTGGGCCCCCAGACGCAGGGTTGGGTCAGGTGCAGTGACTTGCTTCGGCATTGCCCTTTGTGGTTTAGAAAGTGCTGGCTCGGCCACTGTCCCACTGGACCCTTGGTCCCCAGTGATAGCCAGGTGGGTACTGCTTCCCTTTTCCCGTGAGGGGCAGAGGCACAGAACACTGGGTCACGATGAAGGGCGCCCACCGGGCAGTGCTGGGCTAAGAATCACACTGACATGTCTTCCTCCCTCCCCATGAGAGGCCAGCACCAGAGAAGGGTCAGATGGGGTCCTGAGGGTCGTGAGCGTTGCTGGAGTGGCGGCCAGGCCTCGGGGGTGGCAGAGAACGAGCAACTGGATCAAAGCACATGGCCTGCGGTTTCTTCAGAAGAAAGTCAGAAAATAGTGCTTACTGGAGGAATATATGAAATGTTTTATTTTACGCTGTGAGGATGTGCTTGTCTTGTTTTTTCAAACTACAGCACCGATGTGTGGCCATCTTTAAAGACAAGCAGAACAAGCCGACGGGGTTCGCGCTGGGAAGCATCGAGGGCAGAGTGGCCATCCACTACATCAACCCCCCAAACCCGTGAGTGGCTCGGTCGGTGGTGCATTTTCAACCAAGACTTTTTCTAAAAAAGGGAAACTTAACTGGGGCCTTTGTTTTTCAGTGCCAAAGATAACTTTACCTTTAAATGTCACCGATCTAACGGAACCAACACTTCAGCTCCTCAGGACATCTATGCGGTACGTTTTTGGAAACTTAACCTTGAGAACGGAATGCGCCCAGAAACCAGACAGGGAGGTGGGTGGCTGAGTCATTATAGTATTAGAGACGATGTGGGGCTCTCGGCCCGGGGGAAACAGCTGCCTCCGTGGGGCTGTTTTCTGTTTTTGTGAACATGTTGACTCTTCATCCTCTGACTTTACTTCTGAATGCAAGCTCAGGGCTGCTGAGGGAGCGTACCCCCCCTTCAAGGTGCTGGTAGACAGTTGATACACTTGGCTTATACTGAGAAATTGCTGTTTGCTGAGGAAGAAGAGCGTTTTCTGAGGCCGTGCCTTGGGTCACTAGCTGCGCACTTGTTACCTTCTGTTGACTTGTGTGGTAACAAGAGCCACGATCGGTCCTGGGCTGGCGGTGGCTCAGGGAGCATGGCTAGTTGTCCCTGTGACCAGGCGCAGCAGCTCCAAGCAGGAAGCACGAGCTGGCGAAAGCAGGTTTCTCCTCCGTCTGCCCCTAATTGTGCGTGTCGACCCCTGCAGGTCAATGGAATCGCGTTCCATCCTGTGCATGGCACCCTTGCCACGGTGGGATCTGATGGTAGATTCAGCTTCTGGGACAAAGATGCCAGAACAAAACTGAAAACTTCGGAGCAGTTAGATCAGCCCATATCGGCTTGCTGCTTCAATCACAACGGAAACATATTTGCCTACGCTTCCAGCTACGACTGGTCCAAGGTGAGCATTCCCAGCCCACCGCACCCCTCCACGCACAGCAGGCACACTAACCACTTCCACTTCCCTTCCTTCTGGGTCTGGGCAGCTCGTCCTGGGCCAAGCCCTTGTCCCGGTGAGGTCATGGATGAGAGGACCTCTTGCATGAAACCGCACGTCGGAGCCAATTGTCCACCGCCCTCCCCAGGCCTCGCTCTCTGAGGGTGGTCATCTTGGCTTTTTAAAAAATATTTTTTTATTGATTTTAGAGAGGAAGGGGGAGGGAGAGAGAAACATCAATGAGAGAAAATCATTGATCGGCTGCCTCCTGCACATCCCACACTGGGGATCAAGCCTGCAACCTGGGCAAATGCCCTGACTGGGAATCGAATCGTGACCTCCTGGTTCATAGGTGGACACTGAGCCACGCCGGCCTGGCCATCTTGGCTTATTAAAGGGGTGGCAGCTTAGCGTCTCGGCACCTACAAGACAAGCATGTACAGGGTGGTTCCTCCAGGTGGGACATGGAAGGCAAATCCCACCAAGTCCCAGCCTCCTCCGCGGACGGAGGTTCCTGTTGAACAGTTGGCTTTTCTCTCCATTCCTTCTCCAGAGACTGCTTCATGCACGTAGCGCTGGGCCTGGCGTGAGGAGTGCCCACAAAGTGCTCACTTCTGCTTTCTCCTAATAAGATTGTTGTGTGTCCCCATCAGGGCCATGAGTTCTATAACCCTCAGAAGAAGAACTACATCTTCCTGCGGAACGCGGCCGAGGAGCTCAAGCCCAGGAACAAGAAGTAGTGGAGACGCCTGCGGCCGGAGCCGCTCTCTGCTCGGCCCGATGTGTGCGGGTCAGGGCCGGCTTGGGTGGTGTGAGCCATGGTGTGGATTCAGCCCCTGGGGAAACAGTGTCCTGGGCCGATTCCCTCGGCCCGCAGTGACTGTGTCTCTCCATTCCACTGCCTGTTACAGGAGTCCTCTGACTACGGGGACCAAGGCCATTACCGAGGTAGAGTCGCGTGGGCCCCTGGTCTGCAGTGCTCAGTTCAGCAGTGTGTTCTAGAGACACTGGGCCACGTTTTACAAACACTGTACTGTACTTTGTAATAAAACATTTTAAAGACTGCCTTCGGAGCTCCCTTTGTCCACCTCCTCCCTCGCCCGGAGGGCGCCCAGTGAGCTCTGAAGTGATCATCCCTGTTCAGCATCGTCGTGGGTTTTGATTTGTGACTTCCGACGCCCTTTGGGAAATGCCAGGATCTCAAAACTTGGGAAAGGTGGGAATCCTGGGCTGCAAATGCCTTCTGCCAAGTGGAATGTCTAGCCACAGCCCTGCCAGCATGGCCAGCAGAGTTTCTATGCGCTTTCCTTGTCCTTCCGCTCCCGGCTTTAACATCCAGTGCTTTTCCTCTGCTGGGCAGCTGACCTGGAGACTGAGGGACGGGCCTTTTTAGGCAAAGCCCGAGTGGGTGCTGTGTGTGTGTGGCCAAGTTAGAACCCCAGTTCCCTGCAAGGGAAGTGCTCTTTACTCATGCCCTAGTGATAGTTATGGGGTGCTGCTTTTTTATTTCGTGTAATTTAAAATTCCTGATTGGTAAGTACCAAATGAAATTCAAGTTGATGTTTGACTGTGGAGCTTATTGTGTTTTTACCCTGTGATCCCAAATGCTTCTTACACTTTACTGTCTGGGGCTGGTGTGTAAACTAACTTGCTGAGTGTGGAAATCTAGTGTCGTCATGTAAGCAATGTGTTTACCTACTCATCAAAAGCAATGACAATAAAATTTTCTACTGGGAGAGACTATCTGCACTCAGTTTAAGTTCTTTGGTACGTGGAGCACAAATGAATTCAGATCCATTAACTCTTCAGCTCTGCCTTACCCTGAAAAGTGATTTTTTGCGAGAGAAAAAGGCATGTGCACTAGAAAAGGAAACTTGAATTTTCAAGTTAATCTTTTGCATCTTATTTTCCCTTTTATGAATTAGCCCTGTGGCTTTATGGACGGGAGACAGAGGTAGAAAAGATGGCAGTGAGGGAGTCGAGCTTGGTTAGCTCAGGAGCCCCTTTCACAGGAGTGGGAGTAGATTTACAGCTTTCGCTTAGCTCCGTGCCCACATTCTCTACGAGCCAAAGTTGAACATGGCCGCAAAATAATGAGTCTAAGCCATGAGCTTTCGGAAGTGCTCTTTTCCAAGACTGGACCTTGCCACATTGCCAAGGGGGTAGTTTTTGTAACTGGTAAATTGGAAACATTTGCACAAGTCCAAGGTTGGACTTGGGCTGCCAGGAACCGGGAGTGAGTTTGCCGCTGTTGCCCACCAGGAGCGTAAAAGATTACCACTTATTTGCTGATGGTCAACCAGGAGGTTTTTGTTGAAATCATTAAACTTCTAAGATACTTGTTTTCATGTTTCCTCAAAAGCCCAGGGAGCCCTCCACCCGTTGTCTCTTGCTCTAAAAACAAAAAAACAGGGAGCCTTGAGGAACTCTCCGCCTTAAACCTCCCTGTCCCTGCAGACGCTAGTACGTATGTTACATTCAGTAGGTGCTCAGTAACTACTGGTAAATTTAATGGCATCTTCTATTCAAAAAGAAACAATCTTGACTCTAAGAAATGTCATCATTCTGCCATTTAAAATCTGTATACCCAGTTAAAAAGGGGGGTCTATAAAGCTCATGGTGAAGACACAGTGTTCCCCACGCTTACCCCATTTTACTGTAAGAATTTTTAACATATGGCCCTGGCCGGTGTGGCTCAGTGGATAGAGCGTCGGCCTGCAGACTGAAGGGCCTCAGGTTCGATTCCGGTCAGGGCACAGGCCCGGTTTGCAGGCTCGATCCCCAGTGGGGGGCGCGCAGGAGGCAGGATTCTCATTGATGTTTCCGTCTCCCTCTCGCTTCCTCTCTCAAGTCAATAAAAATAAAAACGAATTTTCAACATACAGAAGAGGAGAGAAGGTCTTTAGCGGACATTAGCCTAGCCCCTGGATTCTGCTTTCACTTGCCTTTTCCGTCTGGTTCTCCGGGCTTTTTCCCAGCCGTGGTAGTAGGCTTTCTCGGTTACTGAGTGGACGTGAACTGGTGGGATGGACGACGTACTGAGACGATGCTGAAACGCATCATTAGGGATGTAGGCGCTGTCCACAGGAAGGTGCCCGTCTGACTGTTCCTGGTAACTGCGTGGAAACGGTGTTCTGTGGGAGCATGCGTGTCTTGGAGTCTGCCCTCTGGGGTGCAGCAGGTGTCTGAGCCCACCTTCGTCGGGGGTGTGCTGAGTCCCGCCTGCCTGACCCCATCTGTCATGGCCTTGGACCCTGGACGAAAGGATGCCAGGGTGGGATTTGGTGGGGCGATGTGAGTGCCCGCTGACTGCAAAGAGTCCTTGCTGTCCCCTCCTGAGAAATGCGGATGGGCACCACATCTAAGAGGATTCCCCAAGAGGGATGCTGTGCTTTGGTGCAGCCAGCAGGTGGCGCCAATGACTTCAATACCGCTATTGGGGGACAGGTTCTGTATTCAATTTCAGGGACTTTATTAGAGGAAATGAATGTAGGCTCCCGGCTTGCTCTTGTTACTGAGTTTGTAAGATACTTGGAAAGTGAAATGGAGGGATTATTTATCCTGTGAGAAGAATATTCTTTAAAATAATACATTTTTATCTTTAGAAAAATTGATGGCCTTTGGGAAAGCTGAAAGCGACAACATTTCAGAGGCAAGAGTCCTGATTTTCCTACTTAAGAAGTTAATGTCCCCGTTGGTTTCCTTCTTGGACCTTGAGGCCTGGTTGCTGGTGGTGTAGGAGACACTGAACGCCCGCTCACCCTTTAGCACCGTTCCTGCCCCTGGTTTGGGAAAGATTATGAAACCCAAATCTCCCCAGATGGGGATTGATGGCAAATGGCTATTTTAAGCCGAGTTTTAATTTGAAGCTCTAGGCTTACGTGGGAATTGAGGTGTAAGTAAATGTAAAATGCACAGCAGATTTCAAAGACTTGGTATAAAAAGAGTGATATTTTGAATAAGAAAATGAATTCACCTGATCATACTTTTGTAACCATGGCTACTAGATGTGCAGCTGCACTGGCTGGCAGGACCTCTCCCTGGGACCTTGCTGCCCTAGGCCTGGCGTTTGAAGGTTCTGCACTCATCACATCAAATACTAACATGCACCCTCATCCCACCGTACAGGCACATTCTCTGCAGATTTTTTCATGTTTTACTTCTGAAATTATTTGGCAACTTCTACACTTGACAATGATTTATTAACAATCACCTTGA